CCCAGCCTGTTCTTGTCCCCTTCCTCCCAGCACCCTCCCTTGCACCTTCATCCCCTCCTACACCCCAACACCTACCAAGACTCTGCACTGCCATCCGTATCCCATTCACTAGCAGCCCTGTCCCACCTACCTAACACCTCATTTCTGGCCCACCCCAGAGCCTGTGGGACCCACAAAATTTACTAACCCTGGAATCCCAGAAGAGAAAATCTGGCCTGAGGCCTTGAACCTCAGTCCCTCCCCTTCTCCCCCCATCATGGGGCTGGAGCACCAGAGGAGTGAAGTGTCTGAGCTGGGGGCCACATCAGTGAGGGTTGGTGGAGGGTTTTTTCTTTTTTGCTTCACACTTGTGTGGTTCCCGACCCAAAAAAGTTCCCTGCTCCTGCCACAAAGAAAGACAAAGTTGTAAATTTTTGTGCTGGACACATTTTACTTTCATTAAAAATGAAGCCTGGCCAACAAGCCCCAATCGGGGACCAGCCCCCATCTGGCTGCTGTGTTATAACACTCCTGTGCCTCCCCCACACCAACCCTGAGCCCATCATACACCTGAACCCCTTGCCCAGAGCCCCTCATACTACCATATGCCCAGACTCCTGCACCCCCAGTTCCCTGCCATAATACTCTTGCACCCCCCCACTCACCCAAACCTTGTGCCTTGAGCAGTGTTCCCTCTAAGCTGGGGGGTAGCACAGCTTCACAGGTGAGTAATCAGCCCTTCTCAGTCTGTCAGCTCCCTGCTGGGAGCCCTAAGCCTCTGGCTGGGTGGGGCTGATTACTCACCTGTGAAGCTGTGCTGCCATGCAACTGAGGGAATGCTGCCCCTGAGTTCATCATGCACCCCCATATCCTCAGTCCCCTACCATAAAATGGACAGAGGACGGCCTGAATACCTGCATCAAGCTGGATTTGACCAGTTATACTGTAAATGTCAAAGAAATGTGTGAAAAGATGCAGCAGCAGAAGTCCCATTAAATAAAGTCTGTGAGTCCAATGTTTCATGTGTGCTATCATTCATCGTTGTCAATTATCAAACATATTAAGTTGTGTATTTTCAGTCATGCAAATGGGCATTCTTAAAATGGCTTTTTGTTGACCACTTGTTCTGAATTTTGAAGTAGTTTGGTGACTTGGTTTGAACTGGTTGCTGACCCCTGCTCTACGCATGTATTGATTTGGGATGGGTGTCTGGAAGGAGTTTGTACAGTCATCTCTGGGATGTGATCTGATCATTCATAGAGTCTAAGGACTGAAGGAACCAGTTGTGGTCATCTAGTCTGACCTTCTTGGTAACACAGGCCATAGATTCCCCCAAACTGTTCCTACAGCAGATCTTGTTTTAAAAACCCCCCGCAATCTTGATTTAAACATTTCCATTGAGAGTCCACCACAGCCTTTGGTAAGTTGTTCCAATGATTAATGGCTTTCCACTGTCAAAAGTTTCCACTTTATTTGTCTCGCTTTAACTCTCAGCCATTAGATGGTTATCTATGGGTTAAATATTTGTTCTCTATGTAGTTTTGTACAGACAGTAATGAAATCACCTCTGTAAGCTTCTCTTTGAGAAGCTTAATATACTGAGCTCCTTGAGTCTATCACCATAAGGCTGAAGATTGTCAACAGCATAAGCCACACTACCACCTACACAAGATTGCATCATACGTACCTGTAGCGCTTTTGCAAGCTGAACAGATGCCTCCTTGCCTCGAGGAGCCTACCAGTATTTGGTCACATAACAAACATGAAAGATCAAAAGAATGGAGTTGAGCCCCTCAGTAATCAAAACTGCTCTCAAAGCACAACAATTGTATGAGCTGGTGTAACTGCAGTGTTGCTCAAGGTACCCTTGGTGTATGGAGGATGCATCATGAGCCTAACCTCAGATCTGGTCTGCGTTACAGACTTCTGCCAGCATAGCCATGTGGATCAGGATGTGAAGAGATGTGACCCCCAACCTTCATAGCTGTGCTGGCAGAAGTCCCTGGCAGAAGCAGAAGCAGCTCTACTGGCAAAACAATGCTTTTTCCAACATAGCTTGTGCCGCTTGTGGGCTGAGATTTTACTAGAGCAGCATGACGCATGGCTTTCCTGCTAGAGCTATGCTCACGGTAGGGATG